CAACACCACTTACAAGATGTTTATTCAGCCAATAATGTTGTATTGCTGTGAGCCACTCATTACAGCCACAGAGGTGACTCTCAAACCATTCGAGAGGGCACACAACCAAGCATTACGACTAATTACTGGAGGGATAAAATCAAAACCCATTGATGCAATGCTCATAGTTATAGGAAGCACCACAATAGGTTCCCTTATCAAACAAAAGGCCTTGATCTTGTACGAGAAGCTACTGCGCATTACCATGGACAAGTTCTTCAGCACCTATGAGAATAGACCAAGACATCTGAAAACGCAATCTGGTCTAATACAGAAAGCCATAGAACTGAAGAAAGCATTACAAATCGATGACAAACCAAAAAGCCTCTCTCCCCCCATGAACCCATTAGCAGACATTGATGTAGTTTACACACTTGAAGGCCTTAATCAGGAGAGAATTCCAGACCTCAAGGTGCAACGAAATTAAAGCTCGAACAAAGGAGAAACAGTGGACAGTGACACTCTCCGACATACCCGACTGGCCAAGAATCGAAGCCGTTGCTGAGTTTAGACTACGTACCGGACACGATTGCTTGGCAAAACACCTTCACAGATTGAGAGTATACACTCAACCCACATGCCCTCTATGTAACCTACAGGAGGAAATTGAGAAGACCCACCTGATTCGAAGTCCAGCTCTAAAGACAACGATGGAAAGCCAGAGATATTGGGAAACAAGAAGACGGCTAATGAATTGCTATTTATTAACTGCTATAAATGAACCCCCCCCCCCCTTCTTGGCGGAAGCTGAAGTCAAAGTTTAAGGGCTGATGATAAATATCACAAAGCTTGCCATTTGAAATAAATTAATAAATAAATAATGAACTTAACATTGACAAAGCCAATCACTCTCAAATTCCGTAATTTTCATTGCCAATCAATGAAGTCATGCGAATATTTTTTCACCTTCCATGATTAGAGAATACTTTTGTGTTATTAACATTGTATGCGACATTGCACAAATTAATGGGAGTAGTAATAAACTGGCATATTTACCTCAATAGATATCACTGGCGAGATTAGGCATTTACAGTAGAGTAAGAGTTCTGGTTTTTTGAAAGTAGAACAGGCAAAAAAGCAAATCGCAAATATTATACATCGAGAAGTTAGCACACAAATGTGTTGTGATTCACTCAGGATCTAAGAGTGTAATTAACCTGTCGTAATCCATCTCTCCACATAATCGATTCTTGGTTTCACGTTTCAAAAGTGCCTCACTATCTGGATTTACGTCTCGAAAATGCTTAGAGTTACCTTCGTAGAATTGGTCTTTATTCTTATCTGACGTAACAACCTTCAGTCTGGCCATTTGGACGCGTTGCCAAAGATCATCATCCTCACCACCCCATCCTAAGAACGAATTCGAGGCTCCGACAATTCTCTCAAACTGTTCCATGGAAAACATTGTCTCACCACCAAGAAAGGCGGGATATTGTCTACAAGCAATAAAGCATAGTATTAGTCAAGGTTAGATATTCTAACGCCCTTTGTTATAATTAATTTACAACTCACTCTGTGGTTTTGTTATCATTTTTCAAAATCCCTAGAAGTTGATGGGGTCCCTTGGTACAGGAATAGGGGACATCGAGATTAAGTGGCAATTTATCGGCATCATGAGATGCAAAACACTTGCTCCCGGGAAGTCGATCGTATTTGGGAGCCTTCTTTTTTCTCTCGAATTGGCGCATTGAACAGTTCCGCTCGGTTGAATCGGCCTTCTCCATTTTGTTCAGCTACATGGCAGCTTGCATGGCAAGAGGGAATCGCTTACACCCAAATTAAAAATAGGGAGTAAGTTTTGAGTCTTTATTGCAGAGAAGTAGTTGATTAGAAGATAAAAGAAAGAGATTAGAAGGAGTAGACCTTGTAACAAACTTTTTTTCGAGGGAGTTTTGCAAGCCAAGTCATCACGAAATACACACTGATGCTGTATTATCTTTATTCTAATAAGTATACTCCTATGCACCTGTAACTTGTCTTTGTTTTAAATGGAGCACTTTAAGTAGGGGCTAATTGGTGGAGTTCTTAAGCCGACTCCCCGCACGTGCACATTACTCACTTTTGTCATTGGCTAGTTCGATTAAACAGAAGACCAAAGCAGTTTGCAGTGGGGGGGGGGCATTGATCCCTTCTTTGTTGGCCAAATAGTTCATTATCTGATTATGCAAATACCTCATAATTCCTTCCCATCAACCTCTTGCTGCTCGCAACTTCCATCCTTCGGCTATGAGCTTTGCTAACACTTGTCTCTCTTTATCTCTCTCTAATCAGAGTGTCATTTAAGATATTGTTAAATTTTAGTCCCTACATGTATAAATCCTGCGTATTAAAAATTAAAATAAAAATGTTCAATGTTGAATTCAATATCTCTCCATTCCTGTAGTCGTGATATTATTGTAGCCAGCACCATATAAATAAACCCTCTCAATTCTTTGACAATTTATTCTTTGTAAAAATTCTACTCCAGATCAGTTTTGTTATATCAGCGTTCTAGTTAAAATTACTCGTTGCCTGCGACGTGAACGTGGTGATGTGAAGCCCACGTGTTGTTCAAAATATTTAAAAAATCCATTCATTTTTCAATAAAACACTAACTTATTTTCACTACACTTTTACAAGCATAAGTGATTAAAAATTTGTGTTCTTTAGAAAGGATCATTTATATCTCTATTGTCGAATATGGTATCTTCCTAGGTTATTCATTTTTTCAGTTAAATAATTTTGATATAAAATTTTTTTTTATATTGGGTGGGCAACTAAGTCATTGCCGTTTCTGTTGACAGATTCACACTATACATTTTTTTGTTCTGTTAACGTGGCCAGAGCATCTAACCTATATTTTTTTCTTACTGTATGGGCTTCTAAATTAATTAGTAAAAAATTTTTTTGTTTAGTTCTTTAGTTTTGTTTTTATCCTAATTTAAAAATAAAAGAACAGGACGTGCACTTCCGACACATTTTATTGCATTACTTCCGAAAAGGCAAGAACGCATCGCAAGCACAAAAAAAGCTATGTGCCGTATATGGAAATGAAGCCGTGAGGAAGAAAGGCAGTGTCGAAATTGGTTTGAAAGATCTCGTTCCGGTGATTTTTCACTGAAAAATTCACAACGATCTGGCCGCCCAGTCGAAGTGGATGAAACCCATATCAAGGCCATTATCGATTCAAATCGTCACAGCACAACATGAGATATTGCAGAGAAGCCCAATGTGTCGCATACATGCATTGAAGAAAAAAATTAAAAATCCTTGGTTATGTCAAGAAACTTGATTTATGGATCCCTCACCAGTTAAAGGAAATTCATTTGACGCAACGGATTAGCATCTGTGATTCGCCGCTACTGAAATGCAATGAGAATGATCCATTTCTGAAGAACCTAGTTACTGGCGACGAAAAGTGGATAGTTTATAACAATGTTACTCGTAAGAGATCATGGGTGAAGCAAGATCAACCAGCCCAAACAGTATCAAAAGGAGAGATTCACCAAAAAAAGATTATGCTGTCAGTCTGGTGGGATCACAAAGGAATTTTGTATTTTGAACTCATGCCGCAGAACCAAACGATAAATTCAAATGTGTATGTTGAAGAACTCGAAAAACTGAAAGAAGGATGCAATTGAAGATAAGCGGCCGGCATTATCAAATCGGCGGAAGGGTGTTGTTTTCCATCATGATAACGCAAGGCCCCACACATCTTTCGTTACTCGGCAAAAATTATTGGAACTGGGTTGGGATGTTTTGTCACACCCACCATATAGGCCTGACCTTGCGCCTTCGGATTACCATTTGTTTCGTTCCATGCAAAACTCTTTAAATGGTAAAATTTGTAACAACGCGGATGATGTCGGATCACACCTAATTCAGCTTTTTAATAGCAAAGACCAGACATTTTAGGAACTGGGAGTTTTTACTNTGTATGGAAAATTATTTGCCGATTGGTTGCGTAACAAGGAAATAGTGTGGAAACTTTCAGTTTTACCACTTCGAACTATCGACAGAGTTTTTGGTCAATCTCAATTCGTTTTTTTTTTCAATTGCATGCCAATTTACCTAATGAAATGGTAATTTCATTACGTATACGTAGACTTTGCGAGGATGTTACTGACGGTAGGGTTGAGTGATTGAAATTTATTGAACCTATGTTAATTAGTAGTCTGGTTTTTACCTTCTTCAAGTGAGATGCAAAATAACGTGATTCAAAATTTTTCTGTGATTCAAGTCAATAATGCATCATTTCATCAGTTAAGTCTAAATCGTAGGTAAGTTTGATCTTCCCCCTCTCCCTCTTCATTTCTTGATTTATGGATTAAAGTTTAAGTAAGTTGGACTGAGGTAATTCGGATAAAAGTGCAAAATTTGCGCTCAACTGTCCTCGTGAATGCCTATTTTTGCACCTGATGTGCTTCGAAGAATGACAAATTGTAGCTGGTGGTGGGGAAGGTCACAGTGGCTGAGAAATGATCAATAATGTTGAGATATGGGGAGCGTGATGGACTTACCTCCACGTGGTGCACCCTGTGCAACGTATACTGATACGGGAATAAAGTCTATTTACAGGCAGTTGATTTCTCACTCCAAACTACCATCACCCCACTGTATACCATATTCGACTTCTTTCACTGTGCTCACCTCACCTTTTTTCTACCTTTGGGTCTGTCTCTTTTACATCTTTGAATCTCTTTTCTGCTCCCCTCTCGAATTTTTCTCACTTTGATGTTCCTTTCCCTCTGTGAAGCCTGAAGTCAACTAAAGAGCTAATGATAACCATCAAAACGCCTGCCATTTGATATAAATAAATAAAATAAAATAAATGTTGAGATATTGAGGCTCTAATCCACAAGGCCGAGGGAGAGTTGAAGAAGAACATGAAAATTTGAAAGTGTTCTCTTTGACTCTGGCAATCCCCTTTCACCAAGAATCATTGCAAAGTGATAAATTGAAACAATACTTTGATTTATTCCTCATTTAAAGGAGATCTGATTTTAATTAGCAGAAGCCGAAATTCTTTTAATCTTGTGTAGGTTCATATAGTTAATAATATCTCTCGTTACAATTCCGAAATGGACATCGTAGCCAAATAACTACTTAAATGCAATTGATTTTGTTTGCGGATTTATGAGCCAAAGATAAATACTGAGTAGCTCAGTTGAAATGCGGTTTGATTAGATAACGTTGAATATTTCTGATACGATAGAACGGAAGTGTTAAAAGGTGGGTAATAATTAACACAAAGAGAATTAAACTGTGAGTTGGTGAGTTTGTGAGTTATCTGGTTCATTTCTACTGAACAATTGGAAGTAGCATTGGCTCGCAACCTCTCCAGTCCAAAGAAGGTTACTTAGCAACACGTCAAACGAAAAGCTTGAATAGAGTAGAGCAGCTTGAATTTAGCACATCAGTCAATTAAATGTTACTCCATGCAATTAATTGGTGATTTGGTCACACTCTTACAACTTCTGTTACTTATCAGTCTGCATTTCAGATTCTTTTATGAATAAACATTTCGAAGAAAGCCCTATTTTGAATACGCCACCTTCAATATCCAGCTCATTGACAATTATAATAGCAACTTAAAATCGCATTCTGCACACCTCTACTTCAATCGCTTTTTCCTGCCTCCACTCACTTTCCTCTTATTATTTCTCTACCGAATTTGTGCCTTCCAGGGCTAAGAGACCAATTATAAACTAACAAAGAACACAAACACAGTGAGTGTGTCAAAAGGTTGCAGGAGGGTAAATGAGCAGAATAATCAGACACATTCTCTAAGCATTCAAAAAGTCTTAAAGAAACAAGTTGACTTAGATAGTAAATGTCAGTGTTAACAATGCTAAGCATTTTCGCGTTTGATCCACACTTAACGTGTCGAGTGAGATGAGGCTATTTCAACAATGACGAATCAACGATTTTGAAGTGTAATGGTACAGCAGTGGAATAACTTCAAATGAGGCAAGGTCTATTTACAATTAGTCGATTAAATCTAAACAAAATCTGCAAGTTGTAAAGGGTGTATCTGAGGGGGGGGGGGTTAAAAGGCCAAAGAATATAGATTTTTATTAAGATTTAGACTATTGAGCAAGTCTTGGTTCATTCACACCTTGTAAGTTAGTGTGCACTAATGTAAGTGAATTGGATTTATGACTTTCGGTAATAAAAATAATGGAATGTTTATAAAAGTGTACAGTGTAATTAAAAGTAATCAACAATTACCAATGGTTATGAGGCATTGACAAAATGTGTCGAGGTCAAATTAAAAAACCGTCACAACGCTAACATGGCATTCAAGTAATGACAATATTTCTATGCCTATCGGGGTATAATTGAGATAACTATTGATTGGAATTTGGTGTTAGAAACGTGATAAAAAGACATCAATATAAAATGTAAATCTTCGAAAGTATTATTCAAAATGAATAAATGCTAATCATACGTCCATTATATCATTTGTGTTTTACTGGAATAAAACAATAAAGTAAATTAATAAGATATATTTAAATATAAGTTGATAATCAATTCAGCTAATAAATTCAAATATGTTTTTACAATATGGCAGTGTGTTTTAATTATCTAAGCAATATTTGCAATTTTGAATCAGTTTCCAATAATTAACAGTTTTTCCACTCTAACGTACAATTACTATCAATAAAAATAATAATACCAATAACCACCTTTCGGGAATCTGACGTCCCCCTCAGTACTTTAACTCAAGATTACTCCATATAAT